ATGAAGTTGAAGGATATGAAGTTTTTACTGTAACCATTCACTTCACGCTTTTTAAAAGTGAATAACAATTTTGTCATATTGGTCAAAGAATGTAGGAAAAATACGGAAAAAATCTTTTATTTTTTGGGGAGAGAAAAAAACTTTTTGCAACTTTGCATAGCTGCAAAACTACGTGTAAAAAAGACATTCCCACAACTGCCCGTTATAGGCAAGGGTGGTCATGGAGGTCAAGTCTCACAGTATTGTGACTAACGGTAGGATTGTGGCAATGAAGTCAGGACAGCGCACAGGCCGCCTTTACTTCCCAGACAAGCTGGGTGGGTTTCAGGCAACCATTGGGGATCGAACCCCAATTGTTCACAGTGACTGTTCAGTGCCTTAACCACTGAGCCACTGCGGGTCAGTGGTTAAGTCACTAAAAAACTACGTGTGCCATGTTATAAATTCACTGATACCCAACGTAAATGTATTACGTACGTGTTTATACCCAGAATTATATAATGACTATGAAATTCGACACTTTAAAGTTTCTATAACGAGAATAGAATTTTTATTTTGATATTTTCATTCAGAGCAGCAATTAATCCTCTTACCTAAAGAACAGCAAAAATCAAACTAACGAAGCTAACAACGGGGAAACAGCACGTCCAACAACGCTGGAACTAACACTGGTGGTAACATTATATTCCCGTAATAAAACAAGCCCCTTTGCACATGTGCAAAGCAGTTTTCAATGTTAAATTATAAATTACAACCAACAGAGAAAATCTAGTTGAAACTTAGATATGCAAAGGGGCGTAGTGAAACGTAATGATTAATGTTTTTAATCAGAAAAATTACTTTTTTATGATCACACTTATTCGAAATTTAGGAACGTGATAAACAATAATATCGCTTAAATTCCCTGCAATCTTACACTGAGAAAAAAATGTGGTCAACCAAGCCTGAGTATGGTAAAAAATGCCGTATTTCTGGCATTACACTAGAACACTAAATAGCTCAGATTTTTATCGAAGCACTTTAGTAAATGATTTTGATAAAATTAATTATAAAATATATTTTCAGAATATATGATAAAATTTGGCAAATGTGGTAAAATTCGGTGATTTTATTATAATATCATAAACTATGGCATAAAAACCATTCATTCAGTTAAATTTACTTTTCAATTTTCTATTTTTTACTAAATGTGTGGTAATAAGAGCTATAATTTTGTAAATCTGAATTTCTTGCTACAATATTAGCGAAAAAATGACCAACTCAATAGTTAAAATGCCGCATATATTGGTTTTATTAATTAGAATTATGTTTCTTTTTTTGCCAGAAATGTCATTACAATACAGTACAGTAATTTTACCAGAATTGTTTTCTTCGTATAATATGCTACTAAGTCAAACCATATTATATTATTTCTCAAACTTAATAACATGATATAAAGGTTCAATTTGAACTGATAAATTGTTAAATTTTTTACCTAATTAATGATGCGGAAAATTTGCACAGCATTATGGTTTACGAAACCGTAAGTAAAATTCAATGTTGAACCTATCATTACAAGAGTGTATCTAAATGTGAGGACGTTCGCTACGAATACATTTATATATATAAACAAAAAAGATAATTTACTATTCGTTATTTATCACCTGGTGATTTTAAGAAGAAACCCGGGCAGTAGCCGGGGAGTGCCATAATCTAATAAATATTTAGAGTCATGGAGAGGGCGAATAAACTCTATAAGCCATATTTTCTACGAAAATGGAGAGAAATACGCACTATATTTTAATAAGAAACATAAAAAATGTCACGCGGCTATTGCGTGTAGTCAAACTTACGAAGCAGAACGAATAACATAATACATACCTTCAGCATAAGAAAGAAACTTGATGACGCAAAAACTCTTGGCTTCATTTTTTCCCCTCTAATGGGGTGAAATATTTGCTTACGGCTTCTGAGTGTTGCATTTTTTTATTTAAATTTATGGTATATCGATTTTAAATTTTACCTATTAAATAACAAATTGTTATTAATTGGTATTGAGTTTAAATTATAACAATTGTTCTTTATAGCAGATTGCCAATTCTGTAAGTATAAATCTATCTGTATAGATACTGCATTGAGAAGAAAAATTTGATTAAAACTACCAAAGTATGGTGAAATTCATCGCAGTTTTAGCTCTGTGCGAACACCAAAATGCAAGAGGATTTTTACCGAAGCACTTTCGTAATGATTTTGGTAAAATCAACAATAAAATATTGGTTCATAATATGTGTTAATATTTAGTAAATGTTGCAAAATTTTCTAACTTTATCATGATACCCTGAAGCATTGGATAAAAACCATTTACTGGGTTAAATTTATTTTTCAAGGTTGTATTTTACTAAATGTGTGGTAATAAGAGCTATAATTTTAAAAAAACAGAATTTCCGTTAAATCTTTACCATATGAATGGTTTAAATATTTAAATACCGTATGTTTTGGTTTTATTATCAGAAATGTCTTTACGGTACAGTGCGGTAATTTTACCAGAATTATTTTCTTCATATGTGGTTAAAGTTTAAAACAAATTTATGGAGAAAATGGAAAATAATTTTGGGAAGCATACTGTAAATATGGCAACTCTTATAAGAAACAAAATAAAGAGTTACTTTATCCTCTTCATTACCTTGGTCTACATATGTGGACCTTCTTTTTTTAGCTTCTAAAAACACGCTATAAGGAAATTTGCCGTTTTACTTTCACTTAAATATTGAATTTGTTAAAATAATTTTTTAGTACAGCCAATAAAAATGCACAGTATATATCAGTCTAATTAAAAAAAAGAGACTTTAATAATATAAAATATAATTTTATAATTAAGTGAAACCAAATCCAAGTGTGTGTTTTTATACTTTTTTTATTAAAAAATGTTAAAAATAGCATGATGCCCTTATGAATTTTTAATCTTTTTAATTAAGCAAGAGTTATTCACACAATTAATTCCTGCATACTATACTCTTGCAGTCTTATCTTACATTTTCGACTAACGGCTTCTTTCAGAATTATCTCCCGAGATTTTTCTTTTATTCTGTGTTCTTTTTCCAATGTTTCCTTTTTTTTATTTTATATTTTTCATACAAAAGCTTCCAAAATATTTTTTCTACAGTCTATCAACAAAACATCTTCCCCAAATGTCTTAAAAAACCTATTCAATCCCAAATGGATTCCTCAGATTGAAATGCAAAGGATAAGAAATGTGTAATCTGTTTTGGTTGTGAATGTAGCCTAAATTGTTTATTTTCCATCTGTAAATTATTTAGAGGGTATATGCTAAAAAGTAAACTTTTATTATTTTGAATCTCATTGCTCTTTTTAATTTAATTATTTATTAGTTTGTAACAAAAAAACTACTCATCTCTGATTTTCAGCTTTTATTGTACATATATTCTACGTGAATTATAATCCAAATTTAAAACAAAGAACAGAATCTATTTCAAATATTACTAGAAATAATAATTTTATTTTGAGTATATTTATCAATAAAATTAAAATAATACGGAAATCATATAATAGAAAAAATACGTTAGTATTTCAGTTTAAAAAAACTTAAACATTAAATTAAAAAAGAAACTAATTTCGTCAATTTAAGGTCAAAAATTGGTTACGAAATTCAGTATAGTCAAAATAAGGGAAAAAATTGGTCATTTTTAGGTAAAAAATAACACAAATTTTAGCGCTTATTTAACGGATTTGAGACTACCATTAAATCAGAATAAAACGTTAGGTCGAAACGCTAAAATACCCCTAACCATGTGGCATTTTAACGTTATTTTATTGTTATTTATACTTTTCTCTGCTGCATTGGAAGTAATTTGTGTAACACAATAAAAATGGAGCACTAACAGATCTTTTGATTTGATATATTACGTTAAGTTATTATATATTATAAATAACAAATATATTACTTACAAATAATACTAATAAGTACAATATAAACCTTTAAAGGTAAAAACCTTATTATAAGCTTCAAGGCAAGCATGCCTACAAGCATTATTTCACTGAGCATTATTTCATTAGTAGCAATTTTTCTGTAAGATTTTGTTAAGTTATCAAAATTCATGAAATTAGCAGAAAAATAAATTTTAAGGGAAATATACTTACTATAAAAGTCACGCAAATGAAATGATTTGTAAAAAATGAAGGAAAATCTTTTTGTTTAGCTTTTATTATTTTATACTAATATAATGTTTTATATTAAACTAATTTGAGGCAAAATATTTACCAAATAATGGTTGATACCTGCTGTCTTAAAAAGTTTTTAAGGAAATGTTTATTTAAAAATAATTTATATGAAATTTATATTGAAAAATAATAATATTCGTGAACTTAAGATGATATTAAAATATCTCCCAAAAAAGAACATAAGGTATAAATTATGGAAAGATCGTTATTTTACACAGAAAATAATTTAAGGTATTCTTGTTAATTTAAGAAAATAAAAGCAAAGAAATTAAATTTACCTAAAACGCACCGAATATTCGTTCAATTTTCAATTAATTAAACTATCATACTTTCACGCGTGAAGAAATAACCGATAAAAAGTCTTTTGCTGCATTAAATTTCATACCTTAACAGCATCGCCTTTACATATTAATTAAACTAATTCCTTCAAAAACACATTAAGAACTCACAAAAACTAAATTGCTGTGTATTAGAATAATTAAACCATACAAACGATATAAACCTTTTTTTTATTTTAATTTTATGGTACCTAAACGAAAAGCAGATCTATAAGGTTCCTTCATTTCCAAGCAATCGCCTTCTGATAAGGAGCATTGAGGGACGGAACATTAATCTTTAAATAATTAAATTCATTGAACTCTACTAACCGCTGACAGATTCAGTTTTTATTCACGCTTAATGATGGATGAATTCTATTTATTTAATGATTCAATCTGGTAATCTCCTTCCTATTTTAAATACCACAATAAATAACAAAAAAAGAATAATCAAGTAGAATCTACCTCTTCAGTTGATGGTTTCAGCCTTGAAATTGGGGATTAGATAATAAATTTGCGCCTGTAAAAAAAAGGAAAGAAAAATGAATCGAATTATTGTTAGAGCTATGTATTATAAGCAAACATTTTATTTAAACTGTCAAAACTAATGTTAGGGTGATTTGGGCGAGGAAGAAAAACAAAGTTATCAATTTTTCTGAAATAATAACAAAGTAAATATAAAACAAAAGGAAAAAAATTTGTCTATTCAGAGAAAGTATTTTGAGCGTCTGATTTAACATAGTTTACCGAAGCTCTTTCGCTAAGGTAAATAAAAAAGCCACAATTTAAGTGCCTTACCTTTGAAGCAAAGCTATAATTTTAAAGTATATGTATACCATCTTGTCGTGAAGAATTATCCGGGCAAATAACTTAAATGTTTTAAAAGTTATTAAACTTTCTTAAAAACCACCAATTTAGCAAAATTTTCCCCCATAGATAAAAATTACCAAAATCACTGCCTTATTCTCAGTTTCTGTATATTTTTATGAGTCCAAATAATGAGACATTAGAGTAAGATTTTAAATATTGAAAATTAAGACCGCAAATCTTTTTTCTTTTCACAAAATTGACGCTTTTCTCTATATTGATGTTTCGCGACTTTTTCTGAATTATCATCAAGAGATAGGCTAAACTTGATCTAACAGTCAGGCATAATTGTTGCACACTTACAGCAGTTATGAAAATAGCATACAATTTGCAAAAAAGTATCACTTCATATGACGATAAAGCATTTGAAAAGCCATTCTACACTGTTAAAATTTCCATTCTAAAACTACGGTAAAATAACTGGCAACTATCTTGTCCATCCGATTACTCGTAAAGTTTTAGGTAAAGAACACTTTTTCCATTATGGACCATTGAAACCATTTACAAAAAGTATGGTTATAGAACCACGAATACAAAACTATACGGTTTTTTAACCATTTACTACTAGCATTTTTCACAAACGTAAAAAAATTATAATTATTATTCAACTAGACATAGGATCTCGGCTTTTCGTAAGGTAGTGGGCATTGGAGAGTACCGGTACTGGAAATTCTTCATGTGTTGAAGGGAATGTAGGAAACATTGTGGTGTCAATACTAGGACTCGAACTCCAGGTCTGCCTGTCATGAGATTGACGCATAAGCCCACTCGGCTATGATATGTCCGTAGTTGCAAAGAACTAAGTAGCTTAATTTGGTGGTTCTAGTGGATGCGATAAAATTCGGGTAGTTTAACCATAAAAAAATGGTAATCAAATTGTTAAAGTTTGAGAAAAACTGTTTATCAACTGCTTTCACCTAATACGGTTAAGTATTAGGTGAAAGCAGTTGATAAACAGTTTTTCTCAAACTTTAACAGTTTGATTACCATTTTTTATGGTTATTTGACTGTTTTGATTAAATATGGTAAAATAACCATTCAATAAATAGTTATTAAACCATTTTTTCAGAGAAATTTCTAACAGTGTAATAACATTAAATAAATAATCCTAAGAAACTGAAGCGGTGAAATATTACCTTATTGAAACCTTCATTCGCTTCAAAAATATACGAAGATAAAAAGAACAGTCGACATGTTACAAGCACTTCAAAAATAGGAGCCCATTTTTAAGACTTGGCAAAACGTCTTGAAAATGAGAGACAATTTTTAAAGCACTTGAAACATGTCGACTGTTTTTTCATATTTGTATATTTTTGAAGCGAATGAAGTTTTCAATCAAGTAATAGCGAAGTAGCATATTTAAAAGTAATCTCTACAACCATTATGAATGCATATTTATTTCGAATTGTATAAGAAAAATTAAATATCCTACTGAGAAATAAAGGTATTTTTGAAGGTCTTTAATGAGGCCCCAACATAAATACTCACACAAATTACAACTAAAGCATATGAGACGTTAGTCCTCACACACGATTCATTTGACCAATAAATAGTACATGTTTGTCAATCTATCTACTTTTCTTCTTATTGTCTATCCAAATCTTTTCGCCTATTTCCTTTTCGGGACAGTAGTAGACTGCTTTTAGTGGACTTCACTCTATTCCATATGATGGTTAATTCTGGGAGATACTAGAATTTTTGATATTGTGATAAATCATCCGAAAACTTCGATATTTTTTGATAAATCACGATATTTTTGAACATAACTGATTTTTTTTTTAAATTTAAAGACACTGTTTTGCTTTCTTTCCTTACAAAAGTTTCGATAATGAAACACTCAATAACGATGATTCATTTAGCCCAACTGCTCTGATTTCAAAATCCTTGAACTGTGAAACACTGAAACTGAAGCAAATGATCATTAACTGAAAAAGCTTTATTCATTGAGTTAGTCACAATATTATCGTTGACAATATTTACTGATATTATAATTGTAGATATTTTTCGATCTTAATATTTATCATTGTTGATAGTTATCGATATTCATCGTATTCACGATATATCGTGATCATATATATTTTATCATTATCGCGATTATTACAAAATATTTATATATCACGATATATGGATACATAGCCAAGATCTAATGATGGAAAACTTTTTTATTCTGTCAAAATTTGTACCTGGAGATCGAAGTCTGCTTTCATCATTTGCCTAGGTATGACGGGTCGTTAGCTAGACTCTTTTTTATATTTTCACCAAGTCCAGGATGGAATCGAAAAATAGGTTGGCATAGTCAATTTGACCATTGACCATTTTTATTTTAATTTTGTTAATTGTACACGATATTGATAATTTTGGGTTGATTAAAAGCTAATTTTGAAAAGTCACATTTCATCCACACACGTTCAATGCTTTTAATTTTCATAAAAATTATAACCATTCTATTAAAGGTCTTTCTCAAAATTACCAATGACTTCTGCTAGCGCAAAGACTTAATTTTTATCCTCTTCCATGAGAATAGAGTGCAGAAATGCTTGCCACAGTAATATGGAAACCTCTTTGGGTGAGACTGTACAGTTCATCTTATAACCACAGTACCGTGTTAATCTTACTCAAACGGTACTTTTGAATGTGTGGCAACAAAAATAGCAAACTACAAGCGCATGATTGGTGACAAGCATGAAAAATGAAATTTTGATCAACACCTGACATAGTCCACCACAACACTTCAAACATCAAATTACATCTGTCGTCTATATCTCATTTAATGTCATAAAAGCTTTAGAAAATAGGCTTTTTTTGCAATGTTGAGTTGACTGAAGCGATTTGTTGCCAGGTGTGACTTCCAAAATTTGTACATATATGTACAACTTACCTTCATTATTTCCATCACTATGTAACCACTTAATATGTGCACGTCTTCATATATATATATATATATACATTTCCTCAATTGACTCATATGCAAATAGTTCTACATTTTTCAATTTTCTCTGTTTCATTTTATGTAATTACACATGTTAGATATTGTTTTTTTTAAACAATTCAGATATTTTATTCATGTAAACCTTTATGAGACGTATTACATCTGCCTTATCACCAAGCACTATAACTTCGATCAGAACAATTATTATTTAAGGCAATTTTTCTAAAACTAACATTCATTATTTTTTTGTACTTTTAATTATAAATTATATGCTTATATTTATCTATACTAAAAATATGTAAAGAAGCATTTTCCATAACGACATCTAATTGTAATTAAGGTCTTCGATTCACAAAATCATTAAACTTTCTTCATAACAAATTAAATGAAATCTTGTTGTTAAGCACTATATTTTAAGTGTCTCTTCACAGCACGTTACGAATTACGAATAAAATAAAAACCTAGAACAACTTTTAATCAAATGAGTAGATTTTCACGCGCTAAAAATAAAATCTTAATGAAAGAACAACAAAAAATCGCAATTAATGTGTCCAAAGTTAGCATTTGATTACGAATTTCGTCGCTCAATCGTAATTCCTCTGAATAAACATCCCTTGTTTACTAAGGATTTGTAATGAGAACTCTCAAAACACTAGAGTTGCAATATGGAAATTGTCGCCTAAGCAGTTTATCTAGGAGAGCTAGTTTAACTAGTAAGAAGTTGGACACTTATTAATAAAAAATATAAGCATTTTTAAGTTGCAATCAAATTTTACCATATAAAATTTCCTTCTCCTATATTGTGTATTTTTCTATTTCTAATAACTATGAATGCATTTTCATTAATTAATATTTAAAAAACTGAAAATATTAACTAACTGTTAAAAATAATTTCTTTCATGAAATTAATTTTCTCTAAGTTAGGATAATAAATGAGTGCAGAAATTTAGTTTCATTAGTAAGGTGAAGTAAGCAAATAAAGCTACGTAAGTAAAATTTATTTTAGACATTTCGAAATGACATTGTAAGTCTATTTTAAGTCGAAATGTGCAAGTTTAAAAATGCTATATGTAACAGGGGGTCGCGTAAATGCTGCGACGAACTTCTAGGGGAGTTAGGACATATCATGAGGATTAAAATTTCATTTTATTTTAAAACGATTTACTACACAGCCTTGTATTTTTCGAACCCAACCTAGAAGACAAGGAAGCTCTTGGTTTAAACATCGGAACAAGCTAGACGTCATGGAAGAATTTTTTGATGGAACTAACCTGCATTCCCGTAACATGCAGAGGGAAAAAAGACGAAAACCACCCATAATCAGCCTGAAAGCAAGGAGGTTCTTACCCATGATTCGTCTACCACTGAAGATATTTAACAAAAGCACTGTGGCCAGTGCAAGCCGATACAGAATTCGTATCAACTACCAACCGCTGAGATTTGAACCTGGGTCACCTCATCGGGAGGCTAACGCTCAATCCCCTGAGCCACTGCGGCTACAGGATTAAAACGGCAATGTCGTCGTACACGGCTAGCGTCAATTCCCGATTATGACCGTCCTATTATTTTGAGCTCCGCTAGCGGCTTATAACGACCTTTCCAGACATCATGGTTTTCTATGCGATTTTAGTCCTGATGACGTACTCTAACTTCCCTACAAGTTTGACGCAACATTTATGAGGCCTCTTGTTATATAAAACGTTTTTAAACTTACACATTACGGC